AGAATTCAACCTAATGATTGGAGCAAGGACACGATATTTTTGAACACTTAAGCAAAAACTAATGGCGTCGTGTCTGCCTCTCGTTGCCAGTCCATGTAATAACTTGCTGTATCTAACAAATTTAGGGTCGTCTGCAAAATCATCAACAATGATTAAAATTGAATGTAGTTTCTTCATCTTCTGTTCTTTCATATAATGAATTATCTTTCTTTGTGTGTTAATTATTTCTTCCAGTTCTTCAGGTTGGTAGGTGTCATAATATAACTTTTCTTTTTCATCATCAACCTTCATATTATCTTTTTGATATTTCTTGACTTCAACGAAGGTAGGGTCATTATGAACCGACGGGCTAAAAATGAATATACGGGCGAAGCAGTCCCTATAAACATTTAGGATAAGGTTTTGAATTAAAACTGTTTTGCCACCCGTTGATGAAGCAACAACAATTGAGCGAAAAGGTAGTTTTGGCACATGTTCATATTTAGATTGTTTGAAATCGTAATCAGTTATATTTATTGGTTTTATTATTGGAACATCAGACATAATAAAATAATATTAAAGTTATTTAGAAAATATTTTATATTTATTATTTTATATGAATAGAAGTTATTCGGATTATATTGATATAATAGATAAAGTAGAAAATATAGAACAAGTAATAATAACCGATAATAAAATTAAGAAATGTTGTTATTATTCATTAGAATTAATTAAGTTAGGAATACAATATATTAAAAATATAAATATTAATATAGATGGGAAGAAAGAAAAAGAATAAGTCCGAGCCAGTTGTTTCTTCGAGTGATGAAGAAAAAGAAGAAATTGTTAAAGAAACATCAGTTATTGAGTTTGCTTGTCCAATGTGTAAAAAGATGTTAGAAATGAAAAATGAATTAGAAATTCAAAAGAAAGGAAATTGTAAATGTTCGTGTATTCCGACAAGTTTCAAAATAAGTAGAAATGATAAGAAAATGAATATTGATAAAACTAAAGACAGTATAAACTTAGAAACAGATGTTCATAATATAACTTTTAAATGGGGTCGGCAAGCATCACCATCCGATAGTGGCGATAAGGAAACTCAGGAAACTGTTAAACAAATGATGAAAAAATAGTATTTAAAGAGTAGATTTAACATAATTGCAACATTTAGTTTTAAAAGTTTAGTTTTATAATTTAGTATATATGGAGGAACATTTAGCGAACATTGACAGTAGTTTAGAGTTGTTGTTTCCAAGATTAGAAAAAGTGTTGGAGCAAAATGAAAACATACTGAAAATCTTAAAGAGCTTGAATATTAAACCTACATATGATAACAATAACAATTATCAAGCAAAAGAAGTAGATAGAGACAGTAGCGAATACAAAAATAAACGAAACATTTATGTTAAAAAACTGAATGAAAAAATCATAAAAGAACCTAAACAATCAAGTCTGGATTACTATCAAGTCAAGTATAAAGAAGACACCAAGAAATACGTTTAATCATTAACTAACAAAATTTCGTGTCTCAAAAGCGGTTTGTTTATTCCTGCTACTTTGTAAGTTTTATTACCCATAATATCATATTCAATTTTATCGATATTGAATATTTTATTAGACCATTTAGAGTTATACTCCTTTCTGTCGGTGTAATTACCCCTTTTCTTTTGAAACACTTTTACCTTGTCGTTCTCCACTATTCTGGGATACTTTCTTTTGTTTTTTTCTCGTAGTTTAAGATTGACCTTTACATTTATTTCATTCTCGTCCTTGTGTGCTTCAGACGGTGTCATCCTTGTTGATGAGTGAGATGTGCTGTTATACTGTTTCAATGCCGGCGTTAGGGCGTCGGTCCATTTCATGTTGTTAAACCTAACTCTATCGTGAATTTTGTTTTTCATCGTTCTAATAAAACGCTCGGCCACATTTGCGTGGGTCTTCGTAACGATGTGGTTTATTCCTTCACTGTTGAAGAAATCCTGAACGTGATTTTTAGTTGCAAACGCTCCGTCGTCATCAGAATACACGGACATCGGATAACCCATCTTTTTAAAGCTTGCTCTCAACGCCTTCAAAACGTTCTCTCCGTCTCTTTCCTCCATCGGTATTACATCTGCTAATTTACTGAAGATGTCAATCACGACTAAAGCATACTGTGGAACGTTCTTGTCTTTTGCTAAAGGAGACATATGCATTATGTCTATTTGATATTCATATCGTGCGAATGGAGCGGTATAGGAATTAGTTCCTCTATAATTTTTGATTTGTTTATTTGGCTGTTTCTTTAAGAAAGACTTTACATCGTCTAATGTTATTGTTGGGTCTTCTTCCTTTGCCTTCTTGTGTGTCGCTTGTGTGCTTCCGAAACCCTCGTCTAAGTCGTAATAGATGTTGCTGATTATTTGGTCTTTTGTTAATCTCGCCATTATATTAAATTGTTAGAAAATATTTTTTCAATAAAAACCCCGCCCCTTAACATAAAATAAAAAACTACTTAAAGAAATATTAACTTATTATATTAAGTGAAAATATGACTGAAAATGTCGGAGTGATTGCTGACTTATCAAACTGGGTGCTATCAGACGAAGAAGATGATGATAATGACAGTTATAAAAAGGAATTAGATGACGAGTTAAACAAAATAAAGGATTTCGTCAAAAGACACCCTTTGCCATCAGTTGATGAAAACGAAGAATTCTGGAAAGATGTTATTAACAGGTTTAGGGATAATAGCGGATTAAACTTGATGACAATATACTCATTTGTTAGGTTTGACATCATGAAAGAAATGTATGAAAACCTAACAGATGAAAACATCATAAAAGACTGTGGTAAAAAGTTAAACCGAGATGGGCAGTTTAATGCTATGATTATTAACCACTATATCTTATCGGGAGCGATACGGAAACTAAACACAGAAGACAGTCTAGTAGATGGACAGATGCGAATTATTGAATTCTGGTGGGATGGAATAGGTGGATGGAAAGCGTGAGTGATTTAGTTTAATGATATTATTCAATTATAATATGATTAAACCTAGTTTTTATAATCTAACAATGAGGTTAAGACATTTAAATTAAACCTGAAACCCAGACCAGCCGACCAGCAACCCCTAGCCAAAACTACTTAAAGAGAAAAAGCCTTATATATTAAGAGAAAAATGAGTAAGGGTAAAATGTCAGAGAATAATTTTATGGATGAGAATTGCGCTAGCTTACCTGAAGGCTTAGTTTCAATCATCACTACTTACATTAATGGTAGTGAAGGGTGGCGAAGACTGAAACAATGTGATGCTTTAAGAGAATTACAAAGGAAATGGAAACCGTCTATTTACACTGAACGAGTAGGAGAAAGTAGATATTATGTTGAGATTCGCAATAAATGCTTAAAAGGTGATAAAGCGCTTTCATATGCGTTGAAACCACCAAAAGAATTATTAAGAATGATGAAGTATGATGAAGAAATACAGGTTGGAATAGTAGTTAGTTCAAAAATTATGTATAATAATAATATTTGCAACAGTCGTTCTTATTCATCATCTAAACAGAATAAGATTTCAAGTAGAGCGTCATTACAATACCATATTGAACAAGCAGTTGAAGAAACCAAACAGACTATGAAACGACACGAAATCATTACTATCGAACATGTTGCAATTGAAATTTATAGAAAACAGAAACAATGATTTCATGGCTTAATCATAATATTTAATTATAATATGATTAAACAGTGTAAACTTTTATAACCTTTCATTATACTGTAATTTCAACCTATAAAACATAACTAGACAATCACATAAAAATCACATAAAAAGAAGTTGTTAAGATATATTAAGAAATGGTTGTGAAGCAAACTATAATGAATAATTATGGAATGACAGAAGAAAAAGCAACAGAAGACTATGGTGAATTCTTCAAATGCAACAGATGTCTTTATGATAAAACAATTGATGAATTTGGAAATGTAAAAAGTGGAAGAAGATATAAATATTGTCAAGAGTGTAGAACAAAAATAAATAATTGTAGAGATAAACGTCAAAGAAACAAACGACCCACCAACACCCCAGAACTTGATAACTACTAAAAGGGCTACCTCTTTCAAATGAAAAAAATGTTTGCCCCTAGCCCAACAATGAACAAGGCGACAATTTACCCAAATGATTACCTTAACGAAAACGATAAATAAGCTCCCTAAAAACCCTCTTTTCAAAACGAATAAGGGGGAACACAGATTTGAGATGAACATAAAAACCATAACAGGCAACCATCAACAGACCACCCCCCAGGCCCCCTACTTTCTCCATTTTTTCCCCCCCCCCCCCACTAGTTTTTTTGTTCGGACCATACTTTGCTGCTTTCTGGCGTCCGTGTTGCAGATATGGAATGTGCGATCACTTTGAATTCTAGGAGGGCGAGCCCAGGAACGCTGCAAGGAAACCGCTTCCGCAAGTCAGCCAGAATTTGCGCAACTATTGCAGGAACCCCCCAATTGGTGGTTTGGCTTGGTGCTTCGGATTTGGATTTGGACTCCTTGTGGGTTCATGAGAAAGCTGTATCTTCCAAACCACCCGCCCAAAACCGAGGGGCTGCTGACTAGTGAAACCCGATCTCCTGAAGCCCTTGGCTCGCGGCTCGAGTCTTGGGTCATTCTGACTGTTTCCGGGGGGGTATCAAAGTCAGAAAACGGGGGTTGTTTCCCTTTCACCCACTTGCGCCACGTGCTCAAAACCCGGGTAGATGAAGGTGAGAAAGGGACGATCCCAACCATAAATAGCTGCGGATCTCCGGCTTAATCCTGCACATGGTTGGATTACGACCATTTGAGTACCAGCTTTTGATTGCGACTCACTTGGCTGTGGGTCAAAACTCATTACCCCCAGTGAGCATCCCAATCCCCACTAAAATAGGTTCTAAAAAGGGCGGTGCACATTGGTACCATTGGTTTTGACCCGCAGCCACTTGGGTGACTTTGATCCACGGTAAGACGAGGCCAGCCGCTCGTTGATTCGCATCTCTCAGGCGAGATCCCCGCGCAGCTGCTGGCGGACATGGGCATCGAGTGGGTGGTCCTGGGGCACAGCGAGCGCCGGGAGAACTGCGGGGAGACCAGCCAGATCGCCCCTTGATGGCCGCGTTTTTTTTGGAGTTCCCTCGCTCTCTCTAGGTGGGTGGGTCATGGTTGGTCTATGTTGTTGTTTTTTTTTGGGGGGGAACCCCCCCTAAAAGGGCGGCGTGCCTTGGGGTTTCCTTGCAAAGCAGACCTCTGCAATGGCTGAAAGATTAAAGCCAGCTTATACAAAGGTATCAGGGACGGCAGTATCCCATGTGGACGCGTGAGCCATTCTTTTGCCAATTTTCTGGGGCACGCATCTCGACTGCGAGCACTCGCATATTGCTGTGGTTGTCAAAACCCTGTAATTTTGGTGAACATCAAAATAGGTGGCAAATGGATGTTCATCCACCCCAAAATGGAGCCATAGGTTATGCCCCATGCCCATATGGCCCCATGCCCATATGGCAACAGGCATCCGAGAAATCGGGGGGACCAGCAATGGTTTCCTTTTGGATTCCCAGTTGCGCCACTCCCTAAAGGACACCCCCGAAAATGGGGGTGGTTTTGCAAAAGCTGGTACCCTCAAAAAAAAGACACACCCCAAAACCACCCCCAACAAGGGATGGTACCGAGCCTCACAAGAAATCGGAATGAATCGCCGGTTTCAGGTGGCTGAGAAGACCAAGTTTGCGGTGGACAAGGGCTTCAGCACCCTTACCTGCATCGGCCCCTCGGCTGAGATTGCTTTGGGAACTGAGTTGGCTATGGCTCAAAGAAGTGGTACCAAAATGGCACCTTGGTAAATGGAACCAAAGACTAAAACCTGCGTAACCCTGGTTCTTTAATTTTGAGCCACACCCAGTTGTTTCCGTTTGTTGGGGCTCGGAACCCGTTAACCCGTTTGGGGTGGTTTTAAAGGGAAGCCCAAAGGAAACTGACAAGCCGAAGCCACTAGCCCAATTTCAGTCCAGGCCTGGGGAAGGTCTCTCCGGTTTTCCGGCTCGAGTTTGGAGAAGTGGATCTCTGTGGTTTTTGAGCTTGAAACTTCGCGGTCTCCTTTTGGTTTTCCTTCAAAACTACCAAGAAAGGGGTACCTCTAAAGAAAGACACACCCAAGTGGATCTATTTTGAAGTTCTGTGAGGGCCCGATTTTGTGAGGAATGGCACTTGCATGGTTTTACGCGCACTGTAGTGCTTGCCATAGTCACCAGAACACGTCACCAGAACACGTGTTTCTTCGAACACAGCACACGGATCGCTTGTACTTCAGGCCTTTGCGCATGCACAGTACCCGTGTCAGCTTGGCGCTTGCACTGGAATAACCTGCGCCTTCCCGCGTCCCCGAGAGTTCAGAATCCAAGTGTCGATTCGCCGAAGAAAAAAAACAAAACACAGAGCAACACACACACACAAAAAAAGAGCGGCAACGCCATTTCTTCTCCCCTTCGGTCTCGTTGTCGTTTCTTGATGTGGACATCAGCTTGACCAAGTCGAGCCACAATCAAAACCCGGGTAGATGAGGGTTAGAAAGGGACGATCCCAACCGTGAATAGCTGCGGAATTCCGGCTTCTTAGTTCTTTACATGGTTCTGGGATTACGACCATTTTTGTACTGGGTTTTGATTATGACGCAAGAGGAGAATGGCCCGTTGCCAAGCGGTCGGCCGGTCGGCCAGGCGAGAAGCTGGACGCCCGCGAGGTTGGGGCTTGGGGGTTGCTAGGTGCGGGGGGGCTTTGTGCGTGGTGAGGGGGGGGGGGTTGTGTGTGTGTGTGTGTGTGTGTGTGTGTGTGTGTGTGTTTTTTCTCGCAGTGTTCTTTTTTGAGGCGTTGACCAGGTGGAGTGCGTTGGGGGTTTCGCTTCGGATTCTCTTAATTTTTGGCAGCGGCAAAGATGCGGGCAGCAGCAAATTCCAGGAAAGAAGCACGGGGTGCAAGGAAAGACCAGCTTTTGTGCTTAATCCAGGTTTCTTTTTCTTCTGCCAAGCACTTGCTCTTTAGCATTCTTCACCTGTTCCAGGTCTTTAGTTTTATCAGGTTTCCTTGCTCCAGGGAGATTCCTGCGGCTTGCGGAGACAATGCTTGTATGCGAGCATCCATTTCCGTGCTTGCTGCAAGAGATGCTTTGCAGCATTTGGCATGAAGGTAGGATGCAACAGAGAGGACGGCAGAATCCAGGGCGGCCCGTGGAATGAGTTCAGTCCACAATGGCTGCAGTTAGATCTGCCGATAGCCCTCACCCGCTTGTCAGTCTTGTTCTGCTATACTGCTGGAGCTGGCTACTCTCAGTGTTCAGTAGCAAGGGATGCTCGATCTTGGTCGGTTTCCTTCCGTCGGAACACGGCAAGTGCTCCGAACTGGCATCAGTAAACCGTGCTTGCTGCAAGAGATGTTCTGCAGCAGTTGGCATGAAGGTAGGATGCAACAGAGAGGACGGCAGAATCCAGGGCGGCCCGTGGAAACAGTTCAGTCCACAATGGCTGCAGTTAGATCTGCGGACAACCTTTTGAGTGCGGCGGGAGCAGAATCGCTTTAAATGCTTGTGAGGGTACGATCCGCGATCGGACGGCACTCAGGCAGATTGAGCAAAGTGTGGCCTGCTTGGGTAAACAGATCGCAGCGCTTCACGTTTTCCGGGTCTTGCGTTTGGCCATTCATCGCTCATAAAGTTGGATGGTGAGTCGCTGGCCGCAAACGGGACGCCTTAAAGCCCCGTGGAAGTTCGGTGCTCGCAGCTGGCCGCAACTTGGATCGCGTGCGTCCATTGGGCGGGCACAGAACGCCAGCCCAGCACCGCGCCTTCTGCCAGGGCAGGCGAAGGGATAGCGGGGGAGCTTGGCCAGCTGTGAGAAAAGCGCCTTCGCCAGCTCAGTCCAGAGCTGACCATTTGGACCTTGTTTGGTTCTCAGTTGCTTGGACAAGAGCTGTGTCTTTCCACCGACTCGCGCCAAGGGACATCCCTTTTCAGCCCCCCCCCAAAAAGATTTGGCCTTTTCTTGGGCCTTTGCAAAGGATGCCAGCAACTCCTTGGGCGTCACCGCTTCGGAGTGCAACGAGTGTCCCCGACCGACACACGCTCGCCGCTCGCCGGGGTCGCCTTCTCCTTCCGGAAACAACACCGTGGCCAGGGGGGCAAGACCTTCGAGGTCCTGGACGAGCAGCTGAAGCCGTTGGCGGAGGTGCTCTCCGAGGCGTCGAGGGCCTCGAGCGCCCGGAGTCCAGGGTCCCCTCTGTGCAGTCAACTTGGGCAGTGCAACAAGCCAGTGGTCAACCGGTCTTTGACTTCATGTAGGCTCCCTGCGCGAGTTGCCGTGTCCGCCCTCTTTTTGGGTCATTATTTGTTGGAAGAGTCCTTCGGTCTCCCATTGGGCTGCAAGTTTCCGTTCACTCCGTCCTGGCACACGGCCCTCTTTTGTGTGTGTCATCTTTTGAGGCTACCCTTTTTGGGCTTTAAGGGGACACCAAACGGACATTGTATATATATATATATACACATCTCTCTATGCACAATCTCCCTCCCTCTCTCTCTCTATAGACATAATCTCTCCTCCCTCTCTCTCTCTCTATGTATACATATATATATATATATGTAAAGGTACACATGTGTGTTTCTTTTTTTTGTATGTCTTACAACATGTTTGGAGGGTTGAAGGTTGAGAGCCCGTTTTTCGGACTCCAGGCGGACTGGGAGTCCGTGGTGCTGGCCTACGAGCCGGTGTGGGCCATCGGCACCGGCAAGGTGGCCACCCCCGAGCAGGCGGGGGGGTGGGGCGGGGGGCCCAGCGGGCGGCTTGGGAAGAGGTAGGGTGCCAATGGGGAAATTCGGGCTGACGTTGGTTTATTTATTTGTGGTGCTGTTTTTTTTCTTCCAGTTTTCCGTTTTGTTTTCATGTTTTTTTTTTTTTTTTTGGGGGGGGGGGGCGCGTTTTCTTTCTTTTCTTCTTTTGGGGTGGGGGTGGGGGGCGGACTCTTTTTTTTTGGGCGGGGGGCCAGGCTTGTCTTTTCTTCTTTTTTTTTGGGTCGGCTCATCCGAGCCAACCCCTCTGCCATTTCCTGTGACGTGGACGCTTCAGGCGGAGGAGACGCACGCCTACATCAGGAAGTGGCTGGCCGAGAACGTCTCTGAGAAGGCGACGTCGCACCCATAGGTAAACCCCCTTTTGGGCCGGTTTGCCCCCAAAAGATAGAGGGCCCTGTTCTTTTTTTTTGGTGGTTCAATCATCAACCAGGGCCATCTATTTTGCAAGAAGGACACCTAGGTGGACACCGCCCATTGTTTGTTCGGATTATGGCTGACGGTGTGCAGCTTGAGCCCAAGAGAACGGCACCTGACACGTCAGCCCTCATTGCCCCCTTGGTCGTTGCCTCTTGGGTGTTCAACCGGTGAGAAACCCCCTCGCGTCACATGGAACCGGGGACAGGTGCTGACCTTTTGCCCTTCCTGAGCGGACATGGCAGACATGTCCCACACGTGGCCACGCGGCCCGGCCACGTGGTGAGGTCAGCGAGTCCGTGCGCATCCAGTACGGGGGCTCCGTGAATGACAAGAACGCTGCCGAGCTGGGCCGCTGGGAGAGTTTTCGGCGAGTTTTTTGCTTTCTTGGTTGCTGGGGCGGTGGCGGTTGGTGGCAAGCAAGAGGAGGATAGGGGATGAAGAGAGGATGGGGGCAAGCGCGGAGGGGATGGGTGTGAAGGGGAGCGGCGGAACGGTGGCGCAGATGTGGGCGAGTGGAAAAAGAGCGCCATTGTTCCCGATGGCTCAACCAACGTCTTGACTTGGGAGTGCATTGAACTGATCTTGAGCGGAGTTTGGTGTTGTTCCTCGGCTTTCATGGCACGCCTGCCAACATGACTAGTGCAGCACTTGTTGGTTTATCCATATGGTAAAGTTCCCTCATACCTGCTGGTTATTTGGGAGGGTGTGGGGTGTCCACCTAAAAAACGATACAAACGCTGAGGGCGCCGCCCAATTTTTTCCCTTCCCGGCCGTTCGCGCGGGAGCCTCAGGACAGCAGCCCAACATCGACGGCTTCCTGGTGGGAGGCGCTTCCTTGAAGGGGAGCTCCTTCACCACCATTATCAATTCTGCCCAGTAAAGGCGCTTTGAAAGCCGCTTTGAAGCTTAGCCAATCTGAGGCCGGCCTGGATGACAAGATTGGAACAGATCTCAGAACCTGTCCGGATGGATGCCCTCCATGAAATTTCTTCTGCGGATTTTGGCTTTTCAGAAGTCCCCTGGGCGGTCTCGGCTGTCTCTTGACCGCGCCGAACACGGAAATCCGACATCGTCGGGACCCAGCCGGGAAGAGACTCGTCGGAGGCGGGGTCTCTCTCGGATTGGGCCCGCGCACTTTTCGCAGTTGCACGGCAACTCCCGCTCGTGGATTCTTCAAGGACAAAAAGCGCTCGCGGGGGGAAAGAGCTGGCAGGCCAAGACTCCCCCCCCATATTCAGGTTATCCTTGATTGGTGCTTTGGCTTTGCGGCTTGAAGATTTGAACGCCCCACCCCTGAAGTACCAAACCAAACCGCCAATCCAAGCCACCACCAGTTGGGGCGCTGATTTTTTCTTTCTGACTTCCCCCCCCCCCCCCCCCAAAACCCCCCAATTTCCACAACCCCCCCTTGGCCCTGGGTGCTTTTGCTGCCGGGCTCCGAGCGCTTGGAGCGCTTGAGGTCACCTACGGGGGCCAGGTGCGCCGGGCCTTCACGGAGCTGGCGCGGCTGGGGGCCTTCCGGGTGGCGCAGCTGGCCGGGGACTGCCGCGCCTCGGGCTGGGGTGGGGGGCGTGGGGGTGGTGGGGCGTGGGGGTGTGGGGGGGGGGTTGGGGGGGGGAGGGGGCGTGTTTTTTTTTTGGGGGTTGGGAGGGGGTTTGGGGGGGGGAGGGGGGAGGAGCCACGGGGCGCGCCTTCTAAGGAGGTGGGAGGTGGGAGGTGGGAGGTGGGAGGTGGGAGGTGGGAGGTGGGTGCAGGGAGAGAAACGAGGCGGGTGGCGGGTTTATGTGTCGTGTTGCGCGGACTTTTGCGAGAAGGTTGGCAAAGCAAAGAGGGTCACGGTGTCGGAGAACAGTTGGCGATTTTCGGATAACAACCTTGGATTGATTACAACCTCGGGTGAGGGTGTTGTGTGAACCAGTGCCCCCTTTTTGGGAAATTGGGGACCTTGAATTGCCTGAAAGTGGATTGGTGTGAACTATGGCACTGCCAAATTTGAAGGGCAGAGGTAAACCAGCATGTGGGCGACTGTGAGCACTTCTTTTTGTCTGCTGAAGACAATGCTCAATAGCTTTCGTGAATAAGGAACTCTCGACGACTCGGCGATGCATGGCTTGCATGATGTATCACGCTACCCATGAAGTCCAATGGACGCTGAATTGGCTCCAAGCTCGTGAATTGACCGGATCTCGCCGAGGTAATCCCGTGGAGGCTCGGAAGTGCCTTTTGCAGCATCTCGGAGGAATGTGTCGAGGCCGTGTAGAAGATGGGGTTGGCTTCCTTTGGCCTCCTTTCAGATACCACCTTTCTACTGCCAGGCTGCATTTCTGGATCATGATGGCGCTTTCGCTGCAGCTTCCCAATCGTAGGGACTTTTTGATTGTTGTTGTCCGAGTTGAGTTGGTCAGTTAGGCAAAAGCTTGGTTCGCAGTCAACAGGACCTTGTCAAAAACAGTCAGTGAATCAAGCCAGTAGGTCAAGCCAGTCGGTCGAACCTCAATTCGTTCTGTCGTTTTTTGAGGGTAGCCTTTCTTCGTGGTTTCAAAGGGACACCAAAAGGAGAAAAGGGACAACACCCACATGTTTGTTGGGGTCCCACCTTTGGTGCATTTTGCTTGGATGTTAGGACTCAGGACTGTTGACTTTTTGCCAACTCATGGGCTTTCCGAATTAAGCCACCAAAAGTTAGTCACTTTTAGCAGGGGAGCAGAAAGCAACCGAGCCACGGCTTTGCTTTTTTGTTTTAGGGAAAAAGCAAAAACAACCCGCTTTTTTGTTGGGGTCCCCCCCCCCCCCCCCCCTCCCCACACAAAAACAGGGCATACCCCGTTTTTGTGTTTTTTTTTTTCTCTCGACGTCTTCACCCGGCCTTGCCCCTAACCCCTAGGCGGCGCCTGGCGGCGGAATGCCTCACAGAGGAGGGCCTCACGGAAGAGCTGAAGGCGTCGGTGGCGGCAGGTGGGCTCCGGACGGTGGGCGTTGGTCGTTCGTTCGCTTTTTTATTTCTTTCTGTTTTGTTTTTGTTTTTCGTTTTTGTTTTTCTCCCGGCGGTGGCCTTGGGAGAATCTGTAGAGTCAGCGAAATCGAATGGGAGGGGTATTTATTTTAGGATTTTTTTTTTCGCTTTTGGCTTCTTGGCTTCTTGGCATTTTGGCTTCTTGCCTTCTTGGCTTCTTGGCTTCTTGCCTTCTTGCCTTCTTGGCTTCTTGGCTTCTTGGCTTCTTGGCTTTTTGGCTTTTTGGCTTTTTGGCTTCTCGGCTTCTTGGCTTCTTGGCTTTTCGGCTTCTTGGCTTCTCGGCTTCTTGGCTTCTCGGCTTCTTGGCTTCTCGGCTTCTGGGCTTCTTGGCTTCTTGGCTTCTTGGCTTCTTGGCTTCTTGGCTTCTCGGCTTCTGGGCTTCTTGGCTTCTTGGCTTCTGGGCTTCATGCGGCTTTTGGTGGCTTGTTGGCTTTTCGCATCCTCTGCATTCCCAGTTCCTCTTCGGCAGGTGGCGCTTTGGCTTTTGCGGCTTTTCGCTGGTTTATGCGGCTTTTGGCGGCTTTGGCCTTTCCCGCATCGTCAGCATCACCACCAGCCTATTTGAATCATCACTTCTTCTGACATCATAAGGGGGGAACCCCCCCCCAACCCACCCGCTACTGGTTTAGATTGTTTGCAGAGTAATTGCGCCCCTATTTGAATCGCTTCTTCCGACATCATGGGGGGGGGCTGCCCCCCCCCCCCCCCCCCCAGCCCCCCCACTACTTTTAGTGTTTTGTTTTTACAGGGATTGAACTGCCCTCCTACTTGAATCATCATTTCTTTGACCCCGTCACACGATTTGTTGGTGATGCCAGGGATGTTGGTCGGACATGCGGGGGATGTTGAAAACGATGCTGGGGATGTTGACGGGCTAGTGCAAAATGCGTCAATTTCGCGAGAAACTGCTGTAAAATACGACATTTTACTGGCCCGGCAGAGATTGAATTGCACCCCTGTTTGAATCATGACTTTTTTGAGCGTCCAATTTCGCGAGAAAATCTGCAAAATACAACATTTTAGGTTATCTGTGTAATCCATGTATGTCTGTATGTATGCATTTCTTCGAACATCATAAAGGAAGCCACCCCCACCACCACTTCTTCCGACATCATGGGGGGGGCTGCCGCCCCCCCAACCCCCCCGCTACGTTTTAGATTTTTTACAGAGATGTAATTAATTGCCCCTAGTTGAATCATTAATTCTTCGAACACCATGGGGCGGGGGGGCTGCCGCCCCCCCCAACCCCCCCGCTACTTTTTAGACTTTTTGCAGAGATGTAATTGCACTCCTTATCAAATCATCACTTCTGCAAACAGCATCATGGGGGGGGGGCTGCCGCCCCCCCCCAACCCCCCCGCTACTTTTTAGTGTTTTGGTACAGGGATTGAAATGCCCTCGTAAAGAGTGTGAGAAACACTCTCGCCGTAAATCCAAGGTTTCCTGCGTAAAGATAATCTGCGCAGGGTTAGTCGGCCCCTAAGGCGAGGCTGAAAGGCGTAGTCGATGGGAATCAGGTCAATATTCCTGAACCTTAAAAGCATGACGGATTCATAAAGTTGTATGAGCTTTGTTTTGGATTGTTCGTATAATGGAGTGTGTCCCAGGAAATAGTGCTTTTGATCTGCAGTTTTTTTTTATTGTTTTAATTATGGAAGACCGTACCCCAAACCAACACAGGTGGATGAGTATACTAAGGCGTGTGAGAGAACGATATTGAAGGAACGAGGCAAATTACATCCGAAAATTCGTGAGTAGGATGACCTAACATGCGTCAGGTGCACAAAATAGGTGTTTATCAAAAACACAGAACTCTGCAAAATTAGATGACGTATAGGGTCTGCTGCCTGTCCAGTGTTGGGACTCTACTTGAATCATCATTTCTTTGACCCCGTCACACGATTTGTTGGTGATGCCAGGGATGTTGGTCAAACATGCGGGGGATGTTGAAAACGATGCTGGGGATGTTGACGGGCTAGTGTAAAATGCGTCAATTTCGCGAGCAAATGCTGTAAAATACGACATTGTACTGGCCCGGCAGAGATTGAATTGCACCCCTGTTTGAATCATGACTTTTTCGAGCGTCCAATTTCGCGAGAAAACGCTGCAAAATACGACATTTTAGGTTATCTGTGTAATCCATGTATGTCTGTATGTATGCATTTCTTCGAACATCATAGGGGAAGCCACCCCCGCCAACCCTCCCGCTGCCTTTTGAATTCTAGCACACCCTTTCTTGAATGATTGCACCCCTGCTTGAATCATCACTTCTTCCGACATCATGGGGAGGGCTGCCGCCCCCCCCCAACCCCCCCGCTACGTTTTAGATTTTCTACAGAGATTTAATTAATTGCCCCTAGTTGAATCATCAATTCTTCGAACATCATGGGGGGGGGGCTGCCGCCCGCCCCCCAACCCCCTCGCTACTTTTTAGTGTTTTTTTCGTTGTTTTTTAATGCCCTCCTATTTGAATCATCATTTTTTTGATCCCGTCAACCCGCTTGATTTTGTTTCCCACGAATTGTTGGTGATGCTAGGGATGTTGGTCGGAACAACCCCCCCGCTACGTTTTAGGTTTTCTACAGAGATGTAATTAATTGCACCCCTAGTTGAATCATCAATTATTCGAACGTCACGGGGGGCGGCAGCCCCCCCCAACCTCCCCGTTACTTTTTCAGACTTTTGCAGAGATTTAATTGCACCCCTAATGAAATCATCACTTCTGCAAACAGCATCATGGGGGCGGGGCTGCCGCCCCCCCCCAACCCCCCCGCTACTTTTTTGTGTTTTTGTACAGGGATTGAAATGCCCTCGTAAAGAGTGTGAGAAACACTCTCGCCGTAATTCCAAGGTTTCCTGCGTAAAGATAATCTGCGCAGGGTTAGTCGGCCCTACTGAAAGGCGTAGTCGATGGGAATCAGGTCAATATTCCTGAACCTTAAAAGCATGACGGATTCATAAAGTTGTATGAGCTTTGTTTTGGATTGTTCGTATAATGGAGTGTGTCCCAGGAAATAGTGCTTTTGAACTGCAGTTGTTTATTGTTTTAATTATGGAAGACCGTACCCCAAACCAACACAGGTGGATGAGTATACTAAGGCGTGTGAGAGAACGATATTGAAGGAACGAGGCAAATTACATCCGAAAATTCGTGAGTAGGATGACCTAACGTGAGTTAGGTGTCACAAAATAGGGGGTACTGTTTATCAAAAACACAGGACTCTGCAAAATTAGATGACGTATAGGGTCTGATGCCTGTCCAGTGTTGGGACTCTACTTGAATCATCATTTCTTTGACCCCGTCACACGATTTGTTGGTGATGCCAGGGATGTTGGTCGGACATGCGGGGGATGTTGAAAACGATGCTGGGGATGTTGACGGATTTCGCGAGAAAATGCTGTAAAATACGACATTGTGCTGGCCCGGCAGAGATTGAATTGCAACCCTGTTTGAATCATGACTTTTTCGAGCGTCCAATTTCGCGAGAAAACGCTGCAAAATACGACATTTTAGGTTATCTGTGTAATCCATGTATGTCTGTATGTATGCATTTCTTCGAACATCATAGGGGAAGCCACCCCCGCCAACCCTCCCGCTGCCTTTAAACTCTATCACACCCTTTCTTTCATTGCACCCCTACTTGAATCATCACTTCTTCCGACATCATGGGGGGGCCTGCCGCCACCCCCAACCCCCCCGCTACGTTTTAGATTTTTTACAGAGATGTAATTAATTGCACCTAGTTGAATCATCAATTCTTCGAACATCATGGGGGGCGGGGCTGCCGCCCGCCCCCCAACCCCCTCGCTACTTTTTAGTGTTTTTTTCGTTGTTTTTTAATGCCCTCCTATTTGAATCATCATTTTTTTGATCCCGTCAACCCGCAAGCTACTTTTTTGATTTTGTTACCCACGATTTGTTGGTGATGCTAGGGATGTTGGTCGGGCATGCGGGGGATGTTGAAAACGATGCTGGGGATGTTGACGGGCTAGTGTAAAATGCGTCAATTTCGCGAGAAAATGCTGTAAAATACGACATTTTACTGGCCCGGACGAAAAACAAAAAAAAACACAAAAATACGAAACATCCTAAAATACATCCGCACCCAATCGAATGGGATGGTATGACATACATTTGGGTCATCTTGGGAGGAGATTGAGTGAAAATCGCCCAGTCAGAGCACTTGCTCATTCTCTTCCAGGGATCCTTCTTTGGTTCACAGGAACTCGCCAAAAAACAACATGAGGCGATCATTTGCAGTTGTTATTTCCAAGGACGGAGCTTGGCCCACGTTTGGCCCACGTTTGGAGGTGGTTCCTTTTTTCGGGTTTGCGGGCGCAGCCCGCGTGCGCCCCAAACGCCCAAGACGCCCCCAAACGCCCCGCAGGCCGCGTGCGCGAACTCCTGGAGGGCGAGGAGGTGCCCAGAGAGCGGTTGCGCGCTGCGAGTGGCGCGTGCGGAAAAGGGGGGAAAAAAACTTTGCGGATTAAACCCAGACACCCCCCCCTGTCAACAAACTGGGGTTATATGGGGTCAGCACTAGTAGCCACAAGAGGGGTTGATTGATATGGGGTCAGCATCAGTAGCCACAAGAGGGGTTGATTGATATGGGGTCAACAGTAACCACAAGAGGGGTTGATTGATATGGGGTCAATATGAGTAACCACAAGAGTACTCCCAAAATGGGCAGAACGTGGGTCAGAGAGCAGATCTCGAGTTGGGAACGGGTCCCATGGAATCCCATGTTACAAGTTTGGTTGGGCGCAGAGGGTCGGGGCAGGGTTTGGGTCAGGGAACAGATTTCCACCTGGGAACAGTTCACCGTGGTAAATCGTTTATCCCGGAGCCATGCTCGCCCAACATCTTTGCACAACAGTTAACCGTGTAGCAGATTTTCATTTTTGACCGGACTCGGTTTTTCCAGTTGCTTCTTCTTCCCTTTCTTAAAAAAAAAAATGAAAAAAGACAAATACATGTACTGTTTGTTTTGTTTCCGTGGTTGGGCGCAGAGGCGTGTAGCATGAAACGGGACTGGCGGTTGGATTGCGGCGAGTCTTGGCGATGTTGGGGCCATTTCAAACTGATGCACACCAGCTGAGCCTTGTGAGGTGTCACGTTGCGAGCTTTTGCAAGGCACCCCTCTTGCGTTTGCCTTTCACACGGGGTTGGCTTCTCTTTGGTTGAACTGTTCACCTACGTTGGGGATACTCTTGTGGCTACTAATGTTGACCCCATATCAACCCCAGTTTGTGAATTGATGAAATCTGGGGTCAACAATATGGCATTCTCTCCAGGGGTGGGGGGCTTTTGGGGGTGGGAGTGGGTTGCTTTTTTAGAAGGGAAGGCAAAATGAGTCGTGTTGGAGGGGACCACCCCCCTAAGAGAATTTTCCTAAACCGGGGTTGAATGGGGGGTTCACAGAAGGGAAGCCATGAGGTTTTCATGGGACTGGGCAGGCCAGCCGAGAAGAGCTGGAAGCGCTGGCGGCGGTGCTGCAGGTGCGGCTCTCCGATTTGCTGGTGACCCCCCTGGAGGATGCCGAGGAGGCAGGAGTCGAAGGAGAAAAAGAAAAATCGGCAGAGCCACTGGTGGGTGCGGCTCAAAATTGAAGGAGCTAGGGTTGTTGCAGGTTTCGTCTTTGGTTCCATCTACCAAGGTGCCATTGTGGTACGTTTATTTGAGCAGCCATGTGGGGAACAATCAGTTAAAAAGGGAGAATCCCAACCACAAATGCGTGCCTTCGCCGCCGTTTTCATTCCTTACATAGTTCTAAGTAGACCATTTTGAAGCCGGGTTTTGATTATGACTCATGTGGGGAAGCGCCAATTTCTTTTTGACCCCAACCTGTTGTCCCTAGAAGCCATCACCTGATAGAATGGAGGGCATTGATCGCACTTCCGACTTCGCTCCGTTCAGGAGCACGAGTAGCAGTCCTGATTGTGGCTATCTTGGTAAGGACACTGGGGCTTGCCATGGGCGCAACTACGCGATCAGAGGCGCAAAAGGCCGGTCATCTGCATGTTCTCTAGCGTAGGGAAGTCAGAAAACAGGGTCCCCAGCCCAGAAATGAAGCTGCACCAACTGGCAGCTATTTGAAGGGATCCGAAAGTGGATATCAGCATGGAGTCCATGTGGGTTCCATCCCTTGTCAACTTCAATGTGGCTATGACGAGCCACTTACCCTCAACATCGCATCAGGTCAGTGGGTCACCCGAAAAAATCAGTCGTTTGGATGGGTGGGATTTAGGATTTGACACCCTGGTAGGTGGGCAAAAGGGGGGAAACCCCTCCGGAAGACCACCAAATCACCGACTGGTAGATGAGCAAATGGGTAAAATGGATTTGGGATTTGAGCTCCTGTTTAAATGGGGTAAATGGGGAACTCCCAAAGCAAAGCACCGGGAAGCGCAGCGAATCGACAGAGGTGGTGGTCACCTCTGCGCCCGAGAGCCGCCAGAAGGCCCGGGTCACCGGCAGCTACGTGCTGGCGCCTCTGGCGCGGACACGGCCGGGGCCTGAGGCCGTGAGGCCGACGGAGACCTCAGGTTTGGTTCCAGTCTCCTCTCCACTTATGATCTCAGACTTGGATTTATATGTATATTGAACAAATCATAATAATATGTAGGCGTGGCTCAAAATGAGCCAGGAGTACCGTTTTTTTTTAGCCACAGCCACGTGTGGCTTCAAAAGAGCAAAATCTCCCCTACCATTGGGTGGCTTCCTGTTGGGGTATTCCGTGGAAACTCCGCCTCAAAGACATAGCCAGGTGGCGTTCTTGAAAATGGGGGGTTTCCTTTTTGGTTTCCCTTGGGAGCCTGGGATCCTCAAAAGGAGACACGGCCAGGTGACTCGTTTTTTTTTTTTTTTTTTCACCTGTAGGGAGCACATGTCCAAAGACCATCCCTCCCTCAAACAGCCGTCCTGGGCGTGTTTGAAACCACACACTCAGGCTTTTTCCTCTGGCTTTTATTTCAAAGGCCACCAACCCCCAAACCCCCCCAAAAACGGGCAATGCTCGAAGAAAGAGCCACACCCCCCACCCCACGGTTTTCGGCCTCGAGTGGTGCAGAAAAGCCTTCGCGAGGCACCAGCCGGATTTGAAGACCTTTGACTTGGAGGTGCTCGCAACGGCCACGCCCGGGGAAGGTGCCTCGCTCGAGGACATCGTTTTTTTTTTTTTTTTTTTGTGTGTGTGTGTGTGTGCTTACCTCTTAAAAACACCACTTTTCTCAACTTTTTGGGTAACATGGGCTATATGTCTGTAAAAGGTTAGCTTCCCCAGGGCGCAGGGAGTTTTAAGGTAAGTGTGTGTGTGTCCCCTTCTCCTCTTGTTTCTTCTTCTTCTGGGGGGGGAAACAAGCTGAGACGGCAATAGGGGCACACAAAAAACATCAGGAGCTCAACAATCTAAGAAACCAGCTACCAGAAATGCTGCACTGAAGCCGGCGTGGCTCTCTCCCTTGGCGCTTGAACATGGGGATGACAGAGGTTTGTCTTCTGAGTCAGCCTCCCCAAACAATTGAAATTGATGGTTTGCTTTTGGTTACCCCCCCCGTTTCAAACAACCCACGTCCAAAAAGACAAACCACAACGAAGCTGGTTTGCTTCCCCCGGAGACGAGGCCTCTCCTGCGGGCTCCACACCTTTGTCTATCACTTTGGGTCCGAGCCCGTAGAGCTGACGCGGCCTGGCTCAAGCGGGGGGGGGTTGGGGGAGTCTCCCACTCGGGCCCCTTGAAACCAGTCACACTCCGTTAAAGGGAAGGGAGGGAACCGACGGCACCACCCCTTCCTATCCCGAAAAGGGTTTTTCAACTCGCCGTTCCTTCCACTAACATGGGCGCCTGCAGGAGGCTAGCTGGAAAATCATTTTCAAATCCTCTCTGAGGGACCCCCTGTCAGCTGCCATGTTGGTGGGAGGAAGGGTACCCGTTCCTCAAAGCAAGGCACACGTCGCACGTCCGCCCACGCCCATTCGCCTCCGAGGTGGGCCGCGCGCGAAGAGCGGAAAGTTCTGCTGCGGCCGGGGGACTCCGCCTACGTGGCGCCCATGGTCGAGCGCCTTGGCTGGGGGCGCTGGTCCTGAAGACTTTGAAGTGCCGGTTCAGATAGGTCAGCGCGCACTTCCATTGTCAGGATATCCAGGAATAAAGTGAACAGCGGACATGGGTGATCAAAATTGAGCCACCAGAATATCAGAGCAACCGATTTTGGAGTTGCCCATTTTTTTTTGTCAAGCACACCCACAGGAACAAAGTGAATTGCGGAGAAAAATAATCAAAATTGAACCACCAGGAATTGGACCGCAGGAGAAAAACTCCTTGCTTCAGGTTTTAACCCACACCCGCAGGGTTGTTGCCCCGCGATCCCGCCCGAGGCACCGCTTCTCTGTGGTGGAGCGGCCCGCGCCCGCGCCGCAGGCGCCAGTTTGGCGGGTTTGTGCCAGCGCTTTGTGGAGCCTCGTAGCCATAGGTGTCCTTTTTGGTTGATTTAGTCTAAAATAGAAGGTCCTGGTTTACCTGGTTCAATCAACTACCAGGGAAACCCATCGATTTTCCCAAAAAGGACACCTATGCTCGTAGCAGCCCTATCTCTGTGGACCAATGGGATTTTCAACAACTAGGGGAGACCCTCAGGCCCAACAAGCTGCTTTCCCACAGCTCCAGGCGCCGAACGCGCGCGCCGCGCGGTGAAACGCGCGGAGGCCAACCCCAACGGTGCGGCGCGGGGCGAAGGCCGTCGGCTCTTCCTGGTGCGGATCCCAGGGCAGCTGCCGGGGTGCCCAGATGCCCAGAGAGAGAGAGAGGCGCTGTCTGAGACGAGACGTAAAAAGTATGGAGTTTGGGGTTGGGATTTGTGGATCAGAGAAGAGTCGTGCCGATTGTGTTAGGAAAGCTTGTCAGAAAACACTTTAAGACATGTATGTATATATAGAAATATATATATATATATAGATATATATATATATATATTTAGCAACAAAACACTTTAAAACAAATATATATATATATATATATATGTAGAAAGAACACACAAACAACATGTAAAGTTTTTTGCGACCCTTCAGAAGTCCTGAAGGTTTTTGTCCACTGGCCACCGAAAGTCCAACTCTGCCTTGTGGAGCGCAGGTCTGGGGAGACCTTGGCGGAGTTCGCCACCTTCTCGGCCTTCGGGCGCGAGCGCGTGGGCGCGGAGACGGCCGGGGGTCCCGGAAGGGTTCGAAGGGGGCGTCAGGGGATGGCGCCTCAAAGTCGGGCGGATGCCTAAACCCCCCATGTTGTGTGTGTTTTTTTTCTTCTTTTTTTTTTCCTCCTGTTTTTTTGAGAGTCTTGTCTTTTTGGGATGAGTTTTTGAGGGTGCCAAAGTTGTTGGGCGTTCCACCGAGGAAGCCGGGAAACCAAGCGACCTTTTTGTTGTGTTTTCGTGAATGAACTCAGAAAGATGCCCGCCACTTGCTGGTGCCACCTCGGGGGGGCTTTGAGAAGAGCAGTTTTCCAACACCGTCCAGCTTCTATGATTGAAAGGCGGGGTATTCGTTTTTGAGCTTCTTTTATGCCTTTCGTTTTTGTTTTGAACGATTCCTTGCGCCAGGAATCGTTTTTGCGCGAGGAATCGTTTTTCTTCCATTTCCTCGTTTGTTTCTTTTGTGCCGTGGGCCTGCGTTTGGTCATGCGGCAGGCAGAAGGGCCAGGTCAGGTGCTCGTGCATGCTTTGCGGTGGTCAAAGGCTTGCCTTGCGGGGCACCTGCAAGCAATGCGTTCAAAGGGACATCATCGGCATAGGTCCTCTAAATCCCTGGTTTCTAGGAGTTTCCCTTTCCCTGTTCAAAACCTCCAAAGAAAACCCGGGTTGGACTTAGCGCAGCCCATGGCTCACCCTTAGGTGCGCTGGTACAACTGAGCTTCTGGCCCGGCGACCAGGCGGGCGGCCTGAGGGAGAGAGGAGAGCTGCAGCTTCTCGGGTGGTCTTTCTCTCATTTTCGTCTTGGGTGGAATCAGGTCATCACTCTAACGGTTGACCATCCTTCTTTTCGAAACCCGGCCGTTGCCCTGAATGGTTTCCGGAGGTTGGAAAGAATGGGGAAGGTAGCACCAGAATTACGTGGAACCGATTCCAGGTGCCTTCTTCTTGGCGTGTTTTTTAATTGATGGCGCGGTCTGAGATAAACGTCTCCGCTAGGTGCTCTCTTTGGGCCCGAAGAAGGCTGGGGGGACGGGCAGGAAGGGCTCCTGTCGGCGGCGCGACGCCGTGCGCAGGGCGGCGCGGCGGCTCGACGCGTGCGTGGACGACGGACCGCGATGGTAAGTTGCGCGGATCTGGGCGGCCATGGCCCCGTTGACGCGCGTGACAAGCACGCAGCTGGCTGCCATGGCCGGCTTTGTGGATCGCCGCCTCACGTATGTGCAAGCTGGCGCAGGCTTGATGCTCCCATCAGGCCGCCGCGCCCGGGTTTGATGGTTCTCAGCCAACGCCTGGCGAACATCGCGGCTTCCGGAGGCCTCGGAACGCACGGCCATGTGCAACCAGCCACCTGGGTCAAGCGGCCAGCCGCGCAGTTTGCTGGCGGTGCGTCACACTCCGTAGCCGGGCGAAGCCAGGCTGCCGCGAGGGCAACGAGGCCGCTGCCCAAGGGGTCTGGCGCGTCAGAGCGGCCCAGGTCTTCCGCCCGCTTCCGCCGTCGCCGTGGTGCGATGTACGATCAGGAAGTCATCATTCAAGTGCCAAGGTGGGGATGGGAGTCCCACTGTTGATCTTCACAATCATGTTATTGCTGGCATTTCTGCTGAACTGATATTGGCGGATGTGGGAAATCAAAAATAGACAACTAATATAATTTGTAAATGACAGATGCCAACATGAATCAGGATTACAACATGATGACCAATAATCCACTTCCCTCTGCTTCTATATCCTCAGGAACACTATTAAATAGAAAATGAATAGATTTCTACTAATAATCTCTAGCATCAGGAACTAAAGATATTGAACCAACAGAAATAAATGAACTGTAATTGCAGTAGTTCCTGATTTGCGTCCTTTGGGCCGCTGGCCGGAGTCTCGGGGTCTTGCCTTACCCATATTCGGAACTCTCTTCAAAATCACCGGCTGTAGTCGCGTTGCACCAAGAGCGCACCACTCTGTCAACTCTTGCGGCGATGCGAGCGTTTTTGTAGGCGCCGTGATCGTGTTTTCGTTGTGTCAGCCAGAGCAGGCATTGGCAGAGCACCAAACTTTGTGCTCATTGTCAGGAAACGTGAATGCTCTCTCTCGAATGTGTTCCCCATAACCCGCTGGCATCCCTGACGAGAAACCCCGTCAGACAGCAAACAGGCACCCGAACTGCTTCAGGTGCTCTTTTGTGTGAGTTGGTTGGTTGGTTGGTTCGTTCGTTCGTGCGTTTGTTTGTTTGTGAGATAGTTCTTGCTTACTTAGGCTGTTTGGTTGGTTGGTTGGTTGGCTGGCTGGCTGGCTGGCTGGCTGGCTGGTTGGTTGTTTGGTTGGTTGCTTGGCGGGTTGGTTGTTTGGTTGTTTGGCCAAATTTGTTCTTGTTAGGTTGGTCGGCGGTTTTCTTGGTTTGGTTGTTTCGTCTTTGGGTGGTTTCGTTGCTGTTGCTGTTGCTGTTGTGGTTCTGGTAGTGGTTGAGGTTGAGGTTGAGGTGGTGGTGGTGGTGGTGGTGGTGGTGGTGGTGGTGGTGGTGGTGGTGGTGGTGGTGGTGGTGGTCCCGCTGGCGGAAACTGCGTTGCATCTCGGCCTTGTGGACGTTGATCTTGCTGAGGCTTGTTGCATTGCACGCCCACGCACTGCAAGGCGTTCCGATCAAAATGCGCCTGTGTCTCGCGCACAGTGGGGTGTTTCTGTCAGAAACTTACGCCGCAAAGTGCAGCTCAGTCTGCCCCAACGTTGAAGCTGTGGCGGTTGCTGACGCTGCTGCTTTCAGCCGGCGTCGCTTGGCAGTGCTCGCCAGAGAGGCGGCCGCGCCTCCTCGCCCGCGGACGCTGCGTCCTGTGTGGGCTTGCCGGACCCGCGTGCAACCGTTCAGCATAGATGGCATCAGGGCGTAGGTTCTTTTGTGGTTCTGCAACTCCCTCCCTGCCAGCGGCCCGGCCTGGATATTACAGAGTTGTGGGGCACTGCGGCCTCCATCGTCGGCCGGCTTCTCCAAGGCGCGCGCGCTAGCTTCCCGTGCCTTGGATAGTCCATTTCCCCAGCGTCGCTGGCCGCTCACGAGATCTCTCGCCTTAGCGTAAGATATCCCGGCTTCTGGCAAGGCAAAGCGATCTGTCATGCTACTGTTTGCTCTTTTCTGCTGAGCTGAGTTGATAAAATGCCGTGGTGGTGGCTTGCCCGTCTTGCACACGGTGCCGCCATCAATTGCCTAACTTTCCACGCTGGATGTCTCCAAAATGAGGAGTGGAGCGAGACGAAGACCTGGTTGGTCACAACAAGCTGGCGAGACGACGGTGTCGACCAGGAACATTAAGTGTGTCGTGCGGGAGCAGCCAGGTTGCCCCATGTCTTGGGCCTCGTTTTTGTTCAGCTCGCCACGCCGGCTTTGACCGTGACCAGCTCGATCTGATATCAGCAGCCACGCTTGTTTTTCAGGCTGGCCCCTGCGCAGCTTTTGTGTTTTGCTCCGCGCCCATTGTGGCCCAACGTGCGTGGCGACCTTCCTCCATCGCTGGGCGTGAGACCGGGCTCGCACGTCGACGCGGGCGAGCCGGGCCGCTCGAGGACGACATCTTGTCCGAAGGCGCTCATGTCCTAGCTGGTTTCACGAGTCTAGGACCGATCCTATAGCGACATAGGGAATGGCCATTCCCAGGAGACCAACGGCCGCTCCACGCATGTTTTTTGCAAACTTGCTTTGCCGCCGCCGCCTTGGACGCTGGGATCCCGCAAGGGGTGTGGGTAGCAACGGCGGCCTCAGCCTCGCGACAGATCTGAGCAGCCGCCCGCTTCAGGAACTCCGGGTGAGCAGCCGGCCGCCTCCCGCAAGGCCACGCCGCTAGCGTGGTTGGCTGCTTCGTTGCGCTGCACCGGGAAGGAGCATGTCGGTAGGCTGCCATCGTCACGCTGACGCCGGCCTCGCTTATTGGGAAACAGGCAAGTTGGGAAGCGTCCAAACTGCATGCGCATTCCCGTGTGCCCCCAGCCGGAGGAAAAGTACTAACAAGACAGGCGCCCAGCGTGGCGCCACTGCTGTCGCCCTCGTTGGCGGTCCGCTTCCACCGCGCATCTTCACCTGGCGAGGAAGCCGCAGGCGCGCGTCGTTCTCAATTGCTGTCGCAGATCGGCTGCCGTGCGTCTGGGCCTTGGGCAGGGCGGCGCGGACTTCGCACAACGCGGGACGTGCCTCTTCCCTTCTGTTTGCTGCCTCGGGTTTTGGGATCGTGCGGTAATGAACGAAAAGAAACACACCTCACAGCCAATTGTCAAGTTCTGGAGCGAGGCCTTCTTGTGCTCGGCGGTGGTCTGCCCTTCGTGGTGCCTTGGCGAACCGTCGCGGTGGGTCTGGAGGATGTTCAGGCACTGCGGTTTTTTGTTGTTGTTTTGCTGCTTGGCCCGGTCCAGCCATGTGCTTCATCTCTTGCCACCCGACTCCACAGTCGCCTTTGCCCTGGCGCATGATGTCAGCATATGAAGGATTCAGTCGGTTTCTCCGAGCCGGCCCTCTTCGTCCCTCGGCTCCCCCCCCTAGTTAGCTGCAAGCTGTGTAGGGGTTCCAACTTCTATTAAAGTGGGGAAAGTGATTTGCAAGAATGACGGGCTGGTTCTATGGGGCGTGCATTTTGTGGTTGCTGTTTGAGGGGCTGGTTTTGGTGCGGGCGCATTTTGCAAGTTTGATGGCAGGGTGCTAGGGCATGCCTGTTTGGGTGCTGTTTTGGGGTGCTGTTTGCGCGAGGTGCTGGTGACCGTGCGGGCGCATGTGACGGCGTGATGCTAGGGGCTGCGCCCGATGATGCCATTTGGCTCGAACCTGGCGTGAGCAACCAAGATTGGGCCGCTGCCCGCCGACTTGCGTTCCTGCCGGCAGACCTTGGCGGGTTGGGCTTGCCGTGCGCCCGCCGCCTCCGCCCTGCAGCATACTGGGCGACGTGGGCAGATGCCCTTGCAGTACTTCACCAGCGACGCCCGGATGTGGCGACCCGTTGCGTCCGCGAACTCTGCGCTGCGTGAAGCCGCGCTGGCAGCGCGCGTCCTCGACGCGGCCGGTTGGCTGCTCGGCCATCCTATCCCGCCCTCCGACCTTCGTGGCCCTAAAGACTTCCAAAGAGAAAAGCAACAAAGGATGGCAACGGCCAGCCGCTTCCGCACTCAACCTTCAGTATAGGGAGCGGGAGGTCATGCCTGATCTTGAGCAAGCTTCGCAGGCGTTGTTGCGGTCCCAAAGCGGTGCCCAGGCGTCTACGGCCACGCCATCCGACCCGCGGTACGCGCCTGCAGGAAGGGCAGCGGTTCCTGGACACCCTGCTCGATTTGCCCGACGTGCCATGCGCGTGGCTACTGCTGCTGCTGTATTGCGCTGCTCTGCGGGCACAGCACCTTCTGCGCACGTTGTCGCCATCGCTGTCTGATGAAAAAACATACAGGTTAAAACATTTCAAGGATACTGGTGACAGTAGGGGCACATTATTTGCGAGATTGACGGCCGGGTCTGTTTGCGGGCCCTTAAATGGTTTTTCCTGGAGGGGGGCAGGGCCAGGTTGCTATCTGGGGTGTATGCTGGGATTTGTTTTTCTCCACGCACCTTTTTCCTTTGCAGCACGTTTTGTCCCAAAAAACCCCTATTACGGACAAATACACAGAGTCGGCAAAGGCAGCTTCGGCAGGCGTTGCCTTTTGCGTTGGGGGCATTGAAAATGCTGGACAAGACGCTGTTGCTCCGTCCCGTGCCTGGG